AGATTCCACAATATGAACAATCTCTCCCTCTTAATGTTGTCACACTTTAAAAAGAATTGTTTCATCTATTGTCCGGGGGCGGGGGAAGTATTTAAGTTTGCATATTTGGTTTCCGAGGGGATACTGTGGATTGAACCCAGGACCTTGAATATGCTAAGCAGGCGCTCTAGCTCTTGAGCTACTCCCTCCCTCCTTGTTGTCACCCCTTTTTATCTGCATTCATCACCTCATACATGACCTTGGCTTGCCTTCCTCCTTAAATTCATAAATAATCTGCTGACCAAAGTATAGATTACCTTTTAGCACATCAGACCTCTCCGCTGTATAAACAGAGCTCTTCCTTGCCATGCACATGGGCCCTGCCCAAACTGAACATTTACCTTGAGTTAGTATTGCACCCACGTGCTGGGTACACGAAATGGATCTCTGCAGTCTCCAGTTTTACTTATGTGTTTCACGCAATCTCAAGTACAGTTTTAAGTGCAGCCAATATCCAACTAAAAACAGTAGAACCGTTGCTTCCCTAAAACAACCATTCATAAAACATGTCACTGAGTGACAAGGCCTTCTAGGTAGGAGACACGGCCCCTTTGGTAGGGAGTTGTTGACGCCGTGCTCCTTAAATTGTGGAAACCCTTTCTTTTAATCCTCTTTCTCTATTGCTGGTGCCCTAAGAGACTCAGGCAAGCAAAGCCCTTCCTTCTCTATTTTTGAAAAAAAAAAAGATTAGCAACACATCCACCCCCAAAACACATATCTAATACATCCAATAGGGGTATGTCCATGTAAGCAAGTCTTATTGGAAATGCAAATGGAAACCCCTAACTAACTAATCATGAACCCAAATGTCTGATCACAGCCGATGTCTGCTTTCTAGGGCCGGCTGTACTCCTGCAAACTGGACAAGCAAACATGCCTTCCTTTTCTAATTATTCTTCACTGCTGCTGTCCGGCTACGTGATACAAGTTGTCAAAATAACTGCACACCAGAGCAGGAACCGCGGAGCCTCTTACAAGCAAGTCTATTCCTACGACACAGCAAGACCTCTCCCTCACACGTTCTCTAGAAAGAATTTCTCGTGCAATTTCAATACAGGAAACAGTTTTCCTTGAAAACACTTCAATTACGTCGTCTAAAGTCCTGAGGTGGGAGATGAGGTGGGGAGGGAGGGGGTGCCAAGGAAACAGGCTATTTTTGAACCCGCTGAACACTGATTCTAGTCCAGTTATCTTGGGGGTCGACCAAGGTCCACAGGAAGTTTCAATATCATCACTCTCGGCTTAAAAATGGGAACCCCTAACCGAGAGATACACTGTACACAGACTGTCAGAGAACAATTCTGATGCTGAAGAGAATAACAGCGGCTCTCAGCTAGAGTGCAGCACGGATCCCCCCTGACCGGAGGATTTTGGTCCTGTGACACTAAGGCACACTTGCCCCGTCCTAGGGAGACCTCTCTCTCTCAGTGTGTGCATTGGTGTCTCTCTGTCCCTGGAACGTTCTTTCTCAGGTTCAGGTTCCTGACATCCCTCCGCCAGTTCACGGCCTCCCATCCTTAGCCTAGGCAGTAAAGTGTAGTTTCCGGGAATAGAAGGGCCAAGACCACTGAGAGGAGTGTCCTCCGGGGTCCTAGAGAGGTTCCCCACCCCCTCACCCCCACCCCGCCATCCCCTCCAGGCCTCAGGGTAGGAGGAGCCTGCGGGCCTGCACCCCTTGTCACAGGAATAGACACCTCCTGCAGAGGCAGGTTCTTCTCTGGCAGCCCCTGGGCTGCAGTGGACAGCAAGGAAGCCTGGAGGGGCCTGACGGGGAGTGGCTTACTCCCCAGGGGCAGGGGTAGCTGGGTTGCAGGTGTTGGGTTGGAATCCTCTCCAAGAAGCCTTCCCCTCAAGGCCTTGCACCAGGGCGCGGCTCCCAGAACCTCAGGACTGGAAGACAGGATCCCTTCTGGAGTCACAGGGAGTTTCCGGGTGGCCGAAGTGACCGTCAAAGAAGGTGCACATGGGCGCGGGGTACAGGGATGGAAAAGAGAGGCTCCTCCCTGCCTGCCTGGCCATTTGCGTGTTACTGCCTGCCCACGTGAGCAGCAGGTACTTTACTGGACTTTTTCCTGACAGTCATTTTGCACATCACACTCGGAAAGACAAAAGACAAAAAACAAACCAATAAAGAGGCTGACTATAGTTCCTGGTGCAATCCAGAGAGCACCCCAGATCTGAACAGCGGACGGTGGCAGCGGGGCGGTTTTGCCTTGTACTGCACCGGGAGCAGCAGACAAGGTACACCGGGGGCATCTGTAGGTGGGGACGCGTCAGGGGAAGTCTCACTCAGCTGAACAGGACACGTTTATCTTTGTGTCTGGCTAGTCTCAGGAGGACTGACTTTTCCTGTCACTTACCGTTCATGAGACAAAAAACAGGGAGCTGCAGGGTCTGTGTCCAACCTTTCAGGAAAAGGAGAAAGTCCTTGCCCCACAGCTGGTAAGCTCAGGAGTCACCCGCCTGACTGTTGGGAAGCCTTATCTAAATCATGAGGAGAAGGGTGGTCCTTTGCGGTCAGCCATTTCGGGAACACATCAACAGACGTTTCTTTACTGTGGCTTTTTCAGGGCTCGGGTGAAGTTCAACCTCGTTAGCGTTGTAAAAATGAGCCAGGCATCATTCACGCCTGTCCAAGCAGGGGAGTCTATGAGCAGAGATTCCCTTTTGGACCTAGATGACTATGCGGAGCTGGCTGGAGCTCTCTAAAGTCACACTGAAGACCATAAAACACCCTCACTCCTGGGCTCTCTGAATGCCTGGAGCTGACTGGCATCCTTAACCCCCACTCCCCACTTCAGGACCCTCTGCGTACCTGCACTTGCATAAGATAAAAACATCTTCCTTGATGCGTGTTTGCCCTGACAAAACTAACGGCTGCCAGGAAATGGCTCATCTCCCAGTACCCTAGCTGGACAGGCCTCACTGCAGAGGCCTAAATCCCGTTATTCAGATTTGCCCATGGCAAGTCTCACCTCACTGACAACCAGTCGGGTACCTGTGCACGAACTGATCGTACAGCCCTCTACCCCTTGTGTTCACAGCCCCTTGCCCCCAATAAAAGATCCTGCACGTTCACCCTGGGCGCTCCCCAAGGCACCTCTCATCTGTGTGGCGCACTGTTGTTACAGCAGTGAATCTATTAAACTTTCCTTGTCTTGGAAACTTTTCTTTGTCTTTGGTGAATTCTTTTGCCACCTGCCACACTGGCCCGCCTTTCCCCCCCAACCTGTTGACACTTGAGCAGCCCTTTCTAGGTATAAAAAGGCAGTATTTTCATGATCTAAATGAAGGAGGCAAAAATGAGTCATTCACCCAGAATAGGATCATCATTCGCATCTTACACTTGAGGAAACTGAGCTGCAGAGAGGTTAAGTAACCTGCCCAGAGTCACAGATGGAGTGAGCGGTGGGGCCTTGATTCAAATCTAGGAATCTGTGCCCTCATCCCCTCCCTGCTAGGCAGCTACACTGATGGTTTCCAGAAACACATATCCACCCCAATCCCCTCCTGAAATACAGCCTTCCCCAGTCGCATGACAGGCCCGCAGGGAGACTGCACTCATCAAGTGCTGGACAACCTCTGGGACACCAGAGATGACTTCACAAGGAAGAGAAGTGTTAGAAAACCTTGCTCCCCAGGGCCCGATGCCTACACCCTGCAGGGAGTGAGGGGCTACAGGAGCGAGCCTGGGGGGTCTGAAGGGGGCTGTTTCTCTGGTAGCCACGCTGATGGATTGCCATACCGCATGCGTGTGATAATAAGCACTTGCTATTTGAATTTACTTATGGTTCCTTTAGCGTTGGCGATACACGCAGCAAGGTGAAAAGACACAAAGCAGATACGTAAAAGCAGGCAGTCACGTGGAGAAGTGGAGAAGTCTGCTTTTGCCGAGGGAGTGCCTGACAGTTAAACGGCACTCTGCTGTGGGAAAGGAGAACATTCTCCTAGACTAAAGAAATGAAACAGAAAGTAGTCATTTTCCTTAACGATCGGTATCATTCCCCCATCACTGAGGAGGTGTTTTGGGCACAGAGAGGATAGGTCAGGTCCTCTAGGTCATTCAGGTAATATGCGGTTCAGTCCCACAGAAAGAAATTCTCACCATGTCCAAAGTAACTCATTCCCCCCAACTGCTCCCTCCCCTCATCTGCACCTCCTCTACTGTTGTTGCCTAAGTCAGTGAAAGGCAGCCTTCTCCCCAGCTGCTTAGGCTAGAGATCCTTAAAGCCATCCTTGATCACTGCCTCTGTCTCACCAGCTGCTCAATCACGGAGCCCCTCCTTTCTGCCTCCTAGGTCTTCCTATGGAAGATCTTGACACTTCTCTCTGTCACAACAGTGAATGCCCTGGTCCAGCTGACCCTCCTCTCCCTCCTAGGGGAGCACCAGCAACCCGGATCCTTTGTCGCCCATTCTCTAGCCCACAGCGTGAGGAACCTGTCTTAAGCCCCAACCTGGGGAGGCCACCCCTGCTCAAAACTCGGTGGGGGCTGCCTGCTGCTCTTAGGAAGACTTGCAGCCTCCCAGACTGGGCACAGCAAGCCTTGCCTGTCCCCAAAGGCCTGATCTTCACCAGACTCCCTCCTTCTGCTCCAACTCCTACTTGATACTCCCGCCACCCAGAATCTCTGTGCTCATCATGTGGCCGGGGTGTTCACACTCGCCCTCCCTCCCCCAGCCACCCCACGCCCAGCTGCAGATTTCACAACCTCGCACGTGGTCTTCCCTCCATCTGGCATGCCCTTCCTTCCTCCTCATCTGCGTGGTTCCTTCTTGGGTTCCACTGTCCGGTTAGGTAGAGAATGTCCGTTTTACCTGGGGAGGCCGTGGAGGAAAAGTCACAGTTAACAGATTTATACTCTTACCGAACGGAACGTGATGGAGATTTCATCATTCGTTTCCCAGATGGACACGCGTTCTACTCCGGTTCACAATGAGCTGGTTTGAAATGCAATCTGATGGCCGAGTGTTTCTGGGAAAGGCTTCCTTGCTAAGAACAGGCAGATACAGACAGCAAAGCTCTCCTCTCATTTTATGTGGGCCCACTGTTGCATCTGAATATGGAGTTTGGAACTGGGCTGCAGTTTTTAAAAAAAAAACTGCATAAAGGGATCCAGGGAGACCACCTGCTTCACAGTGAGGAGAGAATCAGCCCAAATCTGGGGAAAAGTCTGTAACTTTATGGTGTCTGTGACCCTGTAAATGGAACAGGCCTTCAACTGCCCTACCCATGGGACTGTCATTATTCTCCACTATAGCTGATAGTCTGAGTACTCTGTTAGGACAATATATTAAATGCTTGTCCCTTTGCAAGGGTTTTTTGTTTTTCTGTTTTTGGACAGGGAGAGGTAATTAGGTTTATTTATTTTTAGAGGAGGCACTGGGGATTGAACTCAGGACCTCGTGCAACGCTAAGCACATGCTCTACCATTTGAGCTGTATCCTCCTCCCCTGCAAGGGGTGTGATGTCCTGGTCCCTGTGGTCATCAAAGAGACAAGGCTCAGCTGCCTCTTCAGTATGGGGGACCCTCTAAGTGCCTTCGGGCTACTCCTTAGATGTCCCCGCCAGGGGCCGTCAACCCCTGGAGGAAACGGCCAGCTCCTATCAGATCGAGTGGAGAGAGTGCACCCACAGCTGGCTGTACCTGCTACAGACTCAACAGTGATGATTCACTTCATTCACTACGACTCCTCTGAGCAGAGCACATCCAACTATGAAATGAAGTCTGTGCCTTTGGGCTGTAAAGACAAGAAAAAGGATGGGAGCGGCACCAGCTCCACCAGCACTACCCCACCGCCTACCCCAGGCAGAGGGCGGAGTGGACTCCCAGGGCCCCTGGCATGCTTCCCTCCCTCCGCACTACTGTGTCCCTAACACGGGTCACAGGGTCAACGGCTCTGCCTGGAGCCTAGGTATTGAGCTCATGTCAGCTGGGCATATATGGTTTCATTTCCCCAAATCCCAGGCAGGTTAAGTGTCAGCGCCCAGTTTCTATGGACAAGGGAAGAAGCTGAAAGAGGTTAGGTCGCTGGTGCAGTAAAGAGTGGATCTGGGAGTCATGCCTCGGTTCTGCCTGACTCCACAGCCAGGCTTCTTTGCTGTCACAACACACTTGGCTTGTGTTTCAGTTGCCGAGATGCAGACACTGTTCCAGGACGGGAGGGTCATCGCTGTCCCAATACCACGTCCACCTGTGAAATGCAGGCACCCAGCAGGGTAAAGCCACCCTGAAAGGTTCTAAGACCATCTGTATCTGCCTTCAGAGGAGCTGCCCTGAAGCCAAAAACCAGAGACCACCGGCAGGAAAGCCTTGCCTCAGAGCCAACAGCCAGGCAGGACTGGAACTTCCCCTGCAGGAGGCACTTTGCCATACGGGATAGGCTTTTGCAATCAGCCCCGACCCCTAGGTATGTCGCCCCCAGTCTCGGTCTGTTCCCCAGATATTAGGGATCCAGAGGCGAGCAGGAGCAGAGGAAGTGCTTTGGGGCTGCAATGAGAACTCTGGACATGACCCAGCTGCCGGGTGGTCTGCAGCCCCACAGACTGGGAACAGAAGTCTGCCTCTACCCGTCTTCGTGTCTGTGTCCTGCAGCTTGTGTGCCTGTAAGATGCGGACGAACGTCCTACCTCAAGAACCTCCCCACCCCTGAGAAGGGTGTCCTGACCAAACCTCCACACTTCCTCCCCCGCGAGTGAACTTTTTCACACTTTGGGAGGAGTCACCTGCGCTCTGCTGTGCTCCTAGGGTCTATGACTTAAATCCTGCCATAGCTCTCCTCACACAGCAGGTGGCGTCCCGCTGCTTGCGGGTTCCAGCCCACATCATCCCTGCATCCCCAGGCTGGCCACAGTACCTGAGGTGTAGTGTCCGGGTGGAGCTTAAAACATGGTTCTTCAATGATCTAAGGACCTTGACCCTAGGTATTTGGTCAATAAACGGTTGCTCGTCTTGGACCAGTTATCTCTGTGTTAAAAATGACAGAGGACAGCGGCATAAATAAGACATCTGGGGAGTAAGATTCTCTACCCTCAGAGGGGTGGAGGGCTGCATCTTTCATACCGTCCCTAATTCCGGAAACTCCTAATAAAAGAGGCGGCAACGTTCATCACACACATGTGGGTCAGTCCGTTGCCCCATCAGCCGCAGTTCTGGCCTCACAGTGCACCTTGGGCCCAGATACCTGGAGCACCAGTCAGCACACCGAACATTTACCAAGTACCAAGTGGCCGGAGTCCAATCGATGGACTGTTGAATGAGCTCAGCCTGCTACTGAGGTGTGTGATGCCGTGCCCAGGGCACAGGTGTCCATGGAGACGGGGCCGTGAATGCACGTAGGGAGGGCATGTGGCGTCCAGGTGAGGCCGTCAGCCTCACTCGTAGCTGCCCCTCTGCTGCCCTCCGAGCTCCTCGCTTACCCTGCCTCAACGCCGCCTGCTCTTCCCCGTGTCCCTCCTCTGCCTCCCTCCGCAGCCTGGCACAGGCCTGTCCTTCAGCATCTGTGACCCCTGGTGGTCCTTTCCGGTCAGCCGACCAAGCAGATGCAGGATCTCATCCCCGCATTCCGTTTGCCTCTCACTCCCTGTCTTCAGCTGCCCGGCCTCCTGGTGGAGTCTGCACTGTCTGGCAGCCTCTGCCTGTGGCACTTTCCCCAACTGTCCCCTCTGTCTGCAACGTCCTGACCTCAGCTGTCTGCTTTGCTCACTCCTTTCCCCTTCACGTCTTTGTCAAAATGTCACCTCCCCCATGAAGCCTACCCTGGTGGCTCTGGTCAGCGGTCTAACCTGCAGCTCTCCCGCTAGCTCCTCACATTACCAGGCCCCGTCCCAGGGTTTGCATTGTTTTCTGGCCACAGCACCATCACCTTCTACGGCACTGTACAACTTCCTCAGTTGTTATGATGAGGCTTTACGCCTGCCGCCTACCCCTTCCCCTTCAGGGACCGTAAAGTCCGGGGCGGGGATTTCTGTTGCCATGGGTCCCACGTGGGGAGCAGTGCTTGGCACGCAGAAAGCCCTCGATGAATATTTGCTGCCTGCAGCAACAGGGGTGCCTCCCCCACTAGGCTGTGAGTCCCGTGCGGGTCGGGTCGTGTCTCCTCTCCCTTGGGACAGGGCCTCACACTGGGCCCGCGTCCATCTCCACCACGCCTCCTGCCCGGCAGCTCCGTGATCTGGGACTCAGGAGTCACCGGGCTTTATTTCAACTTTCAAACGCCTAACTTGAAAGGAAGTTAGACATTTTCAACGTTGAGGCTTTACTTTAGACCTGAATTTGATTCTCGACAGGCTAATGAAAAATAAATTATTGCTGTTTGTGAAACACTTACAAGTTCACAATTTTCGATTAATTTGGGTGTGCTAGTGTGAAATGCTTCGGTTTCAGCAGCTGCAGTACTTCCTTCTCCTCTTACTTTCACTTGTCAGGCTTTTCTTTATGTTTGCAAAGCAAGGGGAAGTTTTACATCCCTTTCCCCAACAGTCAGGTGACTTGCCCCAGGTGTGTTCCATGTCCTCCTGATGGGAGTGGCAGTGGACGAGTCCACAGTCAACTCAACTCAGATCAATCAACCTCTCCCTTTCCTTCTGGAAAACTGTCGGACTGAAACATCAGGAAGAGGTCGCAACACCTCATGTCGGAACTCTGGCAAATGACAGTCTCTCAATCGGCATAAAACGCCCCAGGGACTCAGAGGTTTCAACCTCTGGAACATAGAACCAAAGACAGAGCAGACCTCACTCTGGGACCCCAGTCTCCCGCCAGCTCTGCAGCATCATACTCTGAATACAGGCTCACAAATACCCCAGGGACTGCACACTATGAGTCACAAAACCCCAGAGACATCAATGACATGCTAAGCTCAGTTACAGACCCACAAAACAGCAGAGAGGGGACCTCACTGCATTGGACACACACCACCAAACAATCCAGTGAACTGAAACTCCTACGGGCTCGATCGATGAGGCCAGAGACACAAAATCAGCTCAGACATGACAGGTCTACATGCATTTTAGCAACTTCATAGCCTGCAATGCAGAAACCCAATAGCTCCCAGGCCTCACAGCCTGGACACAGAAGCCACACAATCACAGAGCTCACACTCCCGGGCACAGACACACACAAACAGCTCAGAGCACTGGTGCCGTGGAGGTGGAGAGCGCGCTCACAACGTTACGTGCAGCCAGCATCGAAGAGACCTCAGACTGTGGTACCCCAAATCCCACCAAGCCCAACGTTCACAGCCTGAGACACCATAAACTCCCAAAGCTCCAGCAGCCTCAATCCCTGGCACACAGACTTACAGCCAGGTCAGAGATGACACACTCGGTAGGCAGAGCCACCAAAGGGTCAGACACCTGCCATCCTGTGTCAAAGAAACTTTGTCATCTCACAACTGAGGGTGTGGCCGCCGAGAAGCTCACTTCCTCACATGCCCATCATTCCAGCTGCAGACCCGAAGCTCTTTGGAGTCCAGCCACCTGCCTAGAGCCGTCACCACACGAATGGCACTGGGTGCCAGCAAAGGGACATTCATTCCCCTGCCCCACTGAGGCAAGTGTGAGTCCGGAAAACACCTTCGCACGGCTCTGTGGCAGCATCCATCAAAATTTAAATTCCATCCTGCACCCACTCTCAGCTTCATGAAAAGAGGGACACGTGTCAGTCGTATTCTGCAATGTCCCTCCACATTTAGAATAGTGTGAGGCACCCAGTCGGGACTCGAGAGATGTCTGTTTAGCCAAAGGATTGTTTGGACCAGCAGTTCCACTGCTATAGTGTCTTAAAGAAATATTCACACCTGCAGAGAGCTGTGTGTACAGTGACAGCAGCAAATTTCTGGGGGTGGGGGGAGTGCTAAATGTCCAGTAATAGGCATTGACCAGTGGAAGGGTAAGTGAGAGATGAAGTGTTCATATTATACCACGGAGCACCACTAGCTGTGAAAGACAATGAGGGGAACCACTTTGACTGGCCAGAGAAGTTTCTAAATGAGAAGCGAGAAGTACTCCTACTCACCAGCGTCTGGGTGCGTGTGTCTACGTGATGTTTTTCCATGCAGAAAACACGGAATAGAGGGAAACACCTAAACTGACTCCAGTGGTCGCATCTGGTGATCAAACTGATGGAGGCAAGATCTGGAGTGCTTATTACTCCTTCTGGTGTGGCTGACTCTATTTCCCAAAATGGCCCAAAATATATCCCAAGGTACATCCCTTTCTTTAAAAAATTTTTTTATTCAACTGTCATGCATGTAGCACACTCACCCTTTGAATGGTTTTTTACCATATTCACCATGCTGTGCAACCAACCCCAATGCATAATCGCAGAACGTGAGCAGTCTCTCCGCAACGTCCCCTCCCACCGGCCCCTGGCACTCACTAACCTGCTTTCGTCTTTATGGAGATGCCTACTCTGGACATGTCATAAAAACAGAATCTTGCACTAGGCGGCCTTGTGTGTCTGCCTTCTTTCACTTTGCTTCATGTGTTCAAGATTGATCCATGTCGTAGCATGTATCAGTCCTCTGTTCTTTTTGATGGCTGAATAATATTCTATTATACGGATATACCACTGTATTTCAAACTGTATTCATTAGCTGGTTGGCGTTTGGGCTGCTTGCACTCTTTGATTGTTGATTCATGCTGCCAGGAACATCTGTACGCAAAAGTTTTTATGTGAATTTATGTTTTCACACAATTTGGGACATACTTAGGCATAGAATGGCTGAGTCGCATGGCAACTGTGTGTGTAACTTTGAGGAACTGTCAACCTGTTTTCCACAGCAGCTGCAACATTCTGCATTCCCACCAGCAATGTCTAAGAATTAAAAAAAATTTTATGGCATTTCTGGGAATTGAATCCAGAACCTCGTCCATGCTAAGTAAGCATGCACTCTACCACTGAGCTATACACCCTGCCACTGAGGATTTAAACTTTCCCACATCTTCCCAGACACTTGTTACTTACATTTTAAAAATCATATCCTTACTAGCGGGTACCATGTTGTAATTCATTGTTTTCCATCTTGGCTTCCCTATGACTAATATTTTCAAGCATCTTTTCATGTCCTTACTGAACATCTGTGTATGTTTTATAGAAACGTCTATTCAGCTGCTGAGTGCATTGTTAATTGGGTTCTTGGTCTTTTATTATTAGCTTCTAAGAGTCCTTTATACTTTCTGGGTCGTGGTTACTATCAGAAATATGAATTACAAATACTTTCCCACATTCTCTGAGTTGTGTTTTCACTTTAGGATGGTACCCTGGAAAGCACATTTCTTGCTGAAGTCTCTTTTACCTAAGTTTTCCTTTATTACCTGTGCTTTTAGTGTCACATCAAAATCCACTGCCTAAACCAAAGTCGTAAAGATTGACTCCTATACTCTCTTCCAGGAGCTTTATTGTGTTAGCACTTCCATTTGGATTCTGATCCACTTTGAGTAATTGTGTCTGGCAGTATGAGGCTGGAAGGCAAATTCAGTCTCTTGCATGTGGATATCCAGTTGTCTTGGTACCATTTGCTAAAAAGACTGTTTTATTTTTTTAAATTGAGTTATAGTCAGTTTACAATGTTGTGTCAATTTCCGGTATAGACTGCAAGTTTTCAGTTATACATGCACATACATATATTCATTGTCGCATTCTTTTTCGCCGTGACCTACCACAAGATCTGTATATATTTCCATGTGCTATACAGTGTAATCTTGTTTATCTATTCTACACGTGCCTGTCAGCATCTACAAATTTCAAACCCCCAGTCTATCCCTTCCCACGCCACTCCCACATGGCAACCACAAGTTTGTATTCTATCTGCATGAGTCTGTTTCTGGTTTGTATTTATGTTCTTTTTGTTGTTGTTGTTAAGATTCCAGATATGAGCGATCTCACATGGTATTTTTCTTTCTCTTTCTGGCTTACTAAAGAGTGTTCTTTGCCATTCAGTTCTTTTGGCACTGTTGTCAAAAAGTCACTCATCACAGATACATGGACTGAGTCCCTGACTCTCGATTCTATTCCACTGATCTACATGTCTACCTTCACGCCAGTACCACACTGTCTTGTTAACCAGAGCTTTGTTATACGTTTTGAGATTGGACTGTATGAGTCCTCCAACTTTGGTTTTCATTGGTAAGGTTGTTTAAGCTATTCTGGGTCCCTGGAATTTCTATATGAAGTTCAGGATCAGCCTCTCAACGTCTAACAAACGGCAGGTAGAATATCAATAGGGATTATGCAGAATGTCTGGATCACTTTGAGGAACACTGCCATCTTAACAGTTCATGAACACAGAATGTCTTCCCATTTACTTATGCTTTCTTTAATTTCTACTAACTGTGTTTTGTAATTTTCAGTGTACAACTCCTACACCTCTTTGGTTCAATTAACTCCTAAGTACATGTTCTTTTCATCATATTACAACTGGAATTGTTTTCTTCATCACTTATTTGGAGTGTTCACTGCTAGCGTACAGAAATACAATTCAGTTTCGTCTATCAATGGTGGTGACGATTTCACAGGTGTATACATATTCCCAAACTCATGGAGAAGTACATATGCAATATGTACGGCTTTTTACGTGTCAAGCATACCACAATTAAGTGGTTTAAAGGAACAGAAATGAAAGCAAAATAAAGGCATTCCCAGAAAAACAAAAAGTCAGGAATTATGTTCCTAGCAGAACTGGCTCACAAGGAGAACTCAAGAAGTTCCTCAGGCTGCAGTGAGTGCGTCCAGATGTTAATTCGCATCCCCATGAAAAACCAAAGAGCACAGGTGAAGGTAATTATAGAAGTGCAAATAACTTTATGAATACACATTTTTACTCTTTTCGTCCCGTATGTAAAAAGCAGTTGTACATCACCAATTGTCAGAGAAATGCAAATCAAAACTACAATGAGATACTACCTCACACCAGTCAGAATGGCCATTATTAAAATGTCCACAAGTGACAAATGCTGGAGAGGCTGTGGAGAAAAAGGAACCCTCCTTCACTGTTGGTGGGAATGTAGTTTAGTGCAGCCATCATGGAGAACAGTGTGGAGATTTCCTTTAAAAACTAAAATTAGACTTACCACATGATCCAGCAATCCCACTCCTGGGCATATATCCAGGAGAAAACATAATTTGAAAAGACACATGCATCCTGATATTCACGGCACCACGATTTACCATAGCCAAGACATGGAAATAACCTAAAACTCCATGGACAGATGACTGCATAAAGAAGTTGTGGTGTATTTCTACGATGGAATACTACTCAGCCATGAAGAAGAATAAAATAATGCCATTTGCAGCAACATGGATGGACCTGGAGAATGTCATACTAAGTGAAGACAGAAAGAGAAATAAGAATACCATGTAATATGGCTTATATGTGGAATCTAAAAGAAAAAAAGGACACAAATGAACTTACCTACAAAACAGAAACAGACTCACAAACATAGAGAACAAACTTATGGTCACCAGAGGGTAAAGGGTGTGGGAAGCGATAAATGGAGAATTTGAAATTTTCACTTGTTGGGGAGTGATGGCAGTGTTCGCTGTCTTGGCTGTGATGGTGGGTTCTCTGGTTTACACATCTATCAAACTTCATCACATTGTATATCTGAAGTACGTGTACTTTACTCTACAGGAACCATACCACAAGAACGGCGTTAAAAAGTGAAATAAAAAGTAAATAATAGAATAAGGAAAATAAAAAGCATTTGTATAAAACAACATCATATAATTGACTGTTGTCACAATACCATATATAATGTAATATATTTGCCAATAACGGCACAAAGGCGGTGGTTGGGAGCAAAACTATGAGGTAAGGAAACAAATCTGGATGGTGACTCAAATCCACAAGAACAAATGAAAAGAAGCTGAAATAGTGACAAAGAAGGTTAATATAACAGAAGTTAGAAATATACTCGATATTCTGTCTTATACCAGCTTTCTAAAGATGTAACATTACGTATAATGTAATAATGATAAGAATATTAATGGGATGTACCCGTTATAGATGTACTATACGTAACAATACGAGGAAAAGAGGGAAATGGGAAGAGACCAACATAGGAGTAACGTTTCTCTATCTCATTAGAATTCATATACATCTGAAGCTGACTGTGATCAATTAAAATGCTTATGGTAGCCCTGGAACAGCTAAGGCAATAACCTAAAAAACAGTAAAAAAATCAGTAAAGAAGTTAAAATGCTACATTAGAAACTATCCATCTAATGCAAAAGAAAGCAGTAAATGAACCAGAGAACAAAAACACACGAGACACACGGGGAAAAAAGTATAACAGCAGGCTTCAGCCTGCATCAACATGAAACGTGAACAGATAAAATAACCCAATCACAAGGCAGACGTTGACAGACTGGATGAAAGAAAAAAAAAAGATCCAACTGTCTGTTGTCTCCAGAGGACACAGTTTAGATTCAAAGATACATAAATTTACCATACAACCTAGGAATTCTATTCCTAGACAATTCTACCCAAGAGGGATGAAAGCAAGTCAAAATACCCATACTCAAACACTCCGCACTTTTATTCATATGAAGCAAACCTAGACACAACCCAAATACTCAACAACCGGTAAATGGATGAAAGAAAAACAGGGACACCCACACAGAGCAATACTACACGGTAAGAAAAAAGGAAGTACTGATGCACGCAGCAGCATGGATGCATGCCGAGCATGCCAAGCCAGAACAGCCGGTTTAGAAGCCTACCGCATTATATGATTTCATGTGAATGGAATTCTAGAAAAGACAGAACTTCAGGCACAGAAATCTATCAGTGGTTTCCAGGCTATGGGAGTGGAGGAAGGAGTCTGATGGCACATGGCACAAGGGAATATTTTTCTGTATTTTTATTGTGGAGGTGGTTACACAACTGTATATGCTTGTCAAAACTCTACAAACTGTGTCCTTTAAAAGGTTCACTTTTATTGTATGAAATTTTATCTCAATACCTCTGACTTTTTTTTAAAAAGGAAAAGGAACTTTTAGGTAAAATATTTAAATACTGGTTACCGTATCCACCTACAGCGTGATCTCATAAATACGTCTTATTTCGGAATTCTTTGCAGACTGGGCCGTCTGCTGGTATTTCCCATGTCAATGGACAACTCCATCGTACTCCTATGAGTAAACACAGAAACTTAGTCATAACCATTTTTGCAACTCCCTCTCCTTCACCTCAAGTCCAAATCCTTGCTGAGTTCTGCCCATTTTACTTCCCAAATACTTGATGTTTCCACTTTTTCCTGTGCCCACCCCATCAGCTCTAGTCCAAAGCCTCCCTGCTTCTGATTGTGAAACCTCCCTTCTAAGTGGCCTCTCACATCCGCTCAGTGTGCCGGTCTCTGTCTCCCTCTCCCCTCCCTCTCTTCCTGTTGCAGAGCTGTCCCTGACTTTACACGAAGACTACACTCCTACACAAGGACGTCGAGGCGTGGTCTAGCCCCTGCCCACCTCTTTAGCCATATGGAAAGCAGAGCTTCCTCTTGTCTCTCTTATTGGGCTTCTTTCACACCCTCCAATTTTCCAAACTTCACTTAGACTGTCCCCTCTTCCTGAAGCCTCTTGATTAGTTAACTCCTGGGCATCATTCACATTTCAACTCAAGTCATGTCTCTTCAGGGAAGACTTCCCTAAAGATCTGGCTAAGGTCATTTCCTCCGAAGCCCTGGGGTGGGCCTCTCTGCTCTCACCAATCACAGCAGCAGTTTTCACGTTTATTTGTGTGACTGTTAGATTCACTATTGTCTCACGATTTCACATAAACTCCATGAAGGCAGTGATGTGTCTTTTTCTTTTTTTCGTATCCCCCAGACACCCAGCATAGTGCCCTGACCACAGGTGGAGCTTGGTGAACCATTAAACAGAGAGATCATATTCATTTCACTCACACACACACACACACACACACACACACACACACCGCTACCACCAGGCACATCCAGATCAGTATGTAGTGTCTGGGCAGCCTTCCTGAGCTGGTTCAGGAGGCTGAGGAAGCACTGGTGGTTTTGCTACAGGGCACCTTTGAGCTTCCCTGAGGTGCCACAGCAGTACCTTCAGCAGGCCTAAGAAGCTCTCTGTGTCTGTCGGTGGTAAAGGCTGACTCCTTCCTGGCTTCACATGCTCAGCACCCCCTAGTTAGGGCTGATGGCGGGTCCTCAGAACGCTCATCACCAAGTGCAGTGAGGCCCTGCCAGCGCTCAGAGCAGGGAGCCCTCTCCCAACAATAATGGAGCACCCTATCCTCGTACTAGAAATGGGAACTGTAGCCGTTCACCCCTCTTAACGTGTTTTCTCCCCTTTGCATTCACTTCCACGTTTCCTCCTTGAGTCACCCAATCCAGCTCTGCTCCTTCCCAACTGATGACTGCACCTGCATCTCACTCTCTGCGTATGGATTTACTGGGGGAGGGCTGGACCTACCTACCGCACTGTGTATCTTCTTCCTCTCTTCCCTTCTGAATCTGCAGGCTCCCAGACATCAAGAAAAGTGCTCCGGATGGCCCACAAATGGGGCGGTGCTGCAGGGGAGGGTGCGACCCTCATCCACAGCCTGGCTCAAAGCAGGACTTCCTTGTAAGTATTGCGTGTGGCCCCATCGAGCCACGGGAGCCAAAAAAGAGCGAAGGCCTAAGAAGTCCTAATACGGATACTTATGCGGATAGAACACCACTCTCTCTGTAGGGAAGTGCTAGTTGTGATTTGGGTTTGGCCTCTATCCTGTGTGGCCTCGTTTACACTTGCAGACTTATCTAACCTTCTATCAGGACCTCTCTGCTCCCCTCCCCGCCGCTCCCCACCTACTGTACAAAAGATCATTCTCCTGCTTTCAATGCGCTGTCTGGTTTTTCACCTGGCAAAGATATAAAAACATTTTTTTTATTAAATCCTGAAACGTCAAGATACCTAAGAGAATGGGTCTTCAGAAGGACTATTTTAAAATTAGAATAGAAAAATTGGCTATGGAATAATGAAGTACAGAAAATAAAAAGTGAATAATAAATGTTGTTTGGAAATTTCCTAGAACTTCACATTTAAGAGAAAAACACTTAATATGTGGTCTCTTGTCTTCCAGGTTTCTTTCTATGCATTTTTAAAAACGATGAGGTGGGTGGGGAGGTAATGCCTTCATAATGTTGTATCTACTGCTCCGTTTATCATTATACTATGGATACGCTACTTTCCATAAGGATGAGGATGTTGACTGACATCAGCAGGAGCAAAGATAAGGATAGACCTTCACACCTACGGGGAACTGTCCTCTGTGACGTGTGCATATGGAGATGACACCCCAGTCTTTCATGCACTGAACAGACGTCACCTTCAATCCATAAAGAGACCCAGTGTGATCTGATTCACGCTGCTGGACACAGTCACCTGCCTTTTGATCCAGGGGACACCGGACGCTGCAGTGTGTTCCAGAGTTTGGTGCCGGACACCATGTCTCTGTTTCTCTCTGGCCTGGGTACCAATCTGACTCAGCCCTTGCTGGCTGGGTGACTCTGGGTAAGTTCCTTCACCTGTAAACCTCTACGTGTCTCAGCCTTGTCATCTGTAAAAAGGGATGATAACATGAAAAACGCTTACCTCACAGTGTTGCTGTGAGTAACCGATGACCCTTATATTACACATGTGCATAAAGACATGGCTAAACACAGTCCAGGAGCCTGAGCTTTTCCTCTTGTGTCTCTTCACTTCTGTTTCTGCTTCTACCGTATCCTTCCCCAGCCCCACATTCTCACCTTCCCCACCCCCCACTCCACCCTCTCTCCCTTCTGCCCCTTTCCTCAGGCTCTCCACCTGAAAACACTACTGGCCATCTCCTCACGATTCAGCTCAGAAAATATGACTACCATCAGCCTTTTGTTAGGTCAATCACGGACATCAGCGGTAGAAACAATGAACACAATAAAACTGGCAGTGTGAAAACTACACGAGAAATAAAGTGTTACTAGGAAAGCTTGACTATTAACAATTCTCGTATCTTCATCACATTCAGATCTTCAGAATTTAATGAAGGAGAATTACACTTGACAAAACTAATAGCAGAAAGAAAAAAAGCCATATGATGAGGTTCTTAGGCATTTAAATTTCACCTGAAATGTTTTTAAACATTTATATACTCATCACCTCACACCAGTCAGAATAGCCATCATACAAAAGTTCACAGATGATAAATGCTAGAGAGGGTGTGGAGAAAAGGGAACCCTCCTACACTGTTGGTGGGAATGCAGTTTGGTGCAGCCACTGTGGAAAACAGTATGGAGATTCCTCAAAAGACTAGGAATAGACTTACCATAGGACCCAGTAATCCTACTCCTGGGCATACATCCAGAGGGAACCCTAATTCAAAAAGACTCCCGCACCCCAATGTTCACAGCAGCACTATTTACAACAGACGAGACATGGAAACAGCCTAAATGTCCATCGACAGATGACTGGATAAAGAAGTGGTGGTATATTTATACTGTGGAATACTATTCAGCCATTAAAAGACAACATAATGCCATTTGCAGCAACATGGATGTCCCTGGAGAAGTGAAGTAAGGCAGAAAGACAAAGAAAAATACCATATGATATCAATTATAGGTGGAATCTAAAAAAAAAGAAAGAGCAATGAACTTAAATATAAAACAGAAACCGATTCACAGACATAGAATACAAACTTGTGGTTGCCAGCGGGGAGGTGGGTGGGAAGGGACAGACTGGGAGTTTGAGATTGGTAGATACTGACAGGCAAATATAGAATAGATAAACAAGTTTAGACTGTATAACACAGGGAAATAGATAGAAGATCTTGGGGTACCTCACGGGGAACAAGAATATGAAAATGAAGACATGTATATTCATGTATGACTGAAAAATAGTGCTGTATGCCAGAAACTGACACAGCCTTGTAAAGCCACTATCACTCAATAAAAAATTATATACTCATGTTCTATAATCATCCAGTGACAACTTGATTTCCCATCATTATACAAATCCTATGAAGAGGTCATTAGAGGTCTAATTTCCTAGAGAAATCTGCACCAAGTCAGACAGAGCTGAAAGAGCTGAAACAAGTGTACAAACAGTAGCTGGACTCTCTCAGTAATATACTGAACACAGCAATATACTGAACATATACTGAAAATAGAAAGCAAATTCGAATGCATAAATGAACTGAATGACCATGAACTAACTGGATGTTCTCACAAGCACAGAACCCTCCACGTAACAAGGCAGGCTATACTACGTTCTTTTCAATGCCATGTGGAGGTTTCCCTAAAGTACACTATATGCTGGGTCATAACACAAATCTTATCAAATGCAAAATAGTTGAAATCATATAAAGAATGTTGTCTGACCAAAAGAGAAAAACTACCAATAAGTAAGAAAAAATGAAGAGGAAGATCTCCAAACACAAGAAAAATTAAACCGCACACTTCTAAATAGTCCATGGACCAAAGGGCAAGTATCAAGGGACGTTAGAAACGATCTTGAACAAAATGAAAATGAGAAAACAACCTACCAAAATGTGCAGGATGCAGCTGCAGCAGTGCCAGCATTAAATGTACAGCAGCAAATGCTTGTAGTAGAAAGACTACAGAACCCAAATCAGTAATGAAAGCTTCTAGTTAAGAAACTAGAAAAAAAATCAAAATCAATTGAAAGCAAGGAGAATAAGAGAAATAGAGGTTGGAACAGAAATGAGAAAAAGAATAGAGATAATGAAACCCAAAGCTGATTGTTTGAAAAGGTCAATAGCATTACATCAACTTCTACACAGACAGACCAAAAGAAAAAAAAAAAGACAAGTAAAGACACAGCTTACCAACATCAGGCATGAAACAGGCTACAGACAGACCGCACAGAAATGACAAGAATCCTATGAATGACTCTATATACCTACATTTGGCAATTTAGGTGAAATGGAACAAATTATCAAAGCTCATTCAAAACTAAACAGATCATCTGAATAGACGTGAATCTATTTAAAAATCAAATTTGTAGTTGAAAAACTTACAGGAAAGAAACCTCCAGGCCCAGATGGTATCCCTGGAAAATCCTACCAAACGTGTAAGAAGAAATACCAGCAACCCTACACGGTCTCTTCAAGGAAGTAGAAGAGAAGGCCACTTGTTGAATCAGTTTATCAGATTAGCATTACCTTGATACCAGAATCAAACAGAGACAGTAATAGCAAATCAAATTCAATATATTAAAAGAATAATACATCATGATCTACTGGGGTTTATCCCAGAAATGCAAAGCTGGTGCAGCATTCAAAAATCCATCAATCAATCCACCATATCAGCATACCAAAGAAAAAGAACTCCATGATCGTATCAACTGATGCAGAGAAAGCACCTGACAAAATTCAACAGCCATTCATGAAGAAAACACTCAGCCAACCAGGAGTAGAAGGGAGCTTTTAAAACCTGATACACAGCACCTACAATACCTGCACTTTCTGTCCTACTTCATGGAGAAAGACTAAATGTTTTCTCCCTAAGATCAGGAACAAGGCCAGGAGGATAGCCACTCTTATCTCGGCTAGAATTCAACATTGTACTAGAAGTCTTAGCCACTCTAGTAAGGAAAGAAAGGAAAGGAAGTGGTTTAGACTGGGAAGGAGGACATCAAACTGCTGCAATTCACAGATGACAAGATTCCCTACATAGAAAATCCCATGAAATCTATTAACAAAAACTCCTATAACTAATAAGCAACTTTAACAATGTTGCAGGATACAAGCTCAACGCAAAAAAAAAAAATCAGGTGTATTTCTCTGTACCAGCAATAAACAATTACAAAACAAAACTTCTTTAAAAGACTCCCACATACCATTTATAACAGCTTCTTCCCCTCTCCCGAAACCTAGAGAAACAGAAGCAAGACCTCTATGTTCAAAATTACAAAATGCTGAAGAAATATAAGACTTGTCAAAATGGAGACACATACTGTGTTCATGGGTTGATAAATTCAATATAATTAGGATGTCACTACACCCCAAATAGATCTATCAATTTCATACAATTCCAGTAAAAATCCCAGCAGGATTTTTTTCTACATACAGACTAACCTATTATAAAATTGCTGTGGAAAGGCAAAGGAAGTACAATAGCCAAGTAATTCTGAAAAACAAAACTGGAGGAGTAACAGCAACTTTTAAGATTTACTATGCAGCTTCAACCAAGATATATAAACAATCTAAGTGTCCCCAGAGGGATGAATGGATAAAGAAAATGTGGTGACATATACAATGGAATATTATTCAGCCATAAGACAGAAATTCTGCCTTTTGCAACATGAATGGACCTTGAGGGCTTTATGCTAAGTGAAATAAGCCAGAGAGAGAAAGACAAATATTCTATGTTCTCCCCTATAAGTGAAATCTAAAAAAGTCAAACTCACAGAAATAGTTTAGAAGGGTGGTTGCCAGGGGCTGGGGGAAATGCTGGTCAAAGGGTACAAACTTCCAGCTACAAAATGCTTAACATATGAGGATCCAATGTACAGCATGGTGACGGTAATTACTAGTACTGTATTATCTATTGAAAGGTAAGAGGGTAGATCTGAAATGCTATCAAAATAAAAAAAATTTTCAGGTAATGATGTGAGGGGATAATGTTAACAAACTTTAATGTGGTAACCATTTTGCAACATATACGTATATCAAATCATCACAGTTGTATAACTTAAACTTACATGTAACATGTCAATAATAGCTCAATAAAGCTAGAGATATAAAAGAGTCCTCAGTTTTTCCACTGGGAGTGCCTTCAAGCTGGATCTGTGTCCCTCTGACACCTTCCCATCATCCCTCGAACTTTCCCTTATTACTACATGACAAGTTGAGGCAGGCTCATCTATCCTTACCCTCCTCCAGCTTGGGAACCCATCATTTTGTGGAGAATGGTATTTAGAAGCTAGGGGGAGGTATACTTATTGCCACTGGGATGTTGCCGTTTCTAGAAATTTAGGGATTAATGTGTGTACACATACAGGCGTACATCTGTATCTATCAATCGACCCACATATGCACACATCTTGATTGAAACCCAAGAGTTCTCACGGAGAACTTTAATTTCAGTACTGTAATAGCTCGGGATTTGTTCTTGTTTACTTCCTTTCCATATTTGAAATTCCCTTTTCCAAAAGGGACAGGCATCGCCCCCACCACCCTTATACATTTACTGAGCTGATGAATCCCGAAGCATATTAGCCATCCCTCCTCCACATAGAGGCCCTCCTCACACGCTGGGCTGAACCATCCCCCGCCCTTGACTTCCACGCTCCGCTCCAGCTTGAGTCCCTGGGCCAGTCAACCTTTTCCCCACCCAACCTCCAGGGACATCCTCCTTCCGCCTTGGGCTCTGACTCCCCAAGCTGGGAGGCCTCTACATGCATACACTTGACTTGCCTTGCAGCACCTAGTCGCTTTAGGACTGAACTGCTCAAGCACAAACCAAAAGGGAAAAGGTGAATATATCTTAATATAATCAGTTTATGAAGGTGAAGTGGGCCAAATCCAAACAATATGATGAAGCCAGAGTGTTCTTGCTCACAGTCCTACAGATCCCCAAACAGCTCAGATACTTTACACCTTAACACAAACATCCCCCTGCACCCCTCCCAAAAGAAGCTGAGAGACATCACAACTTGGGATCCAGAATCACAAACAGCTCAGAGACCTCATACTCTGGACTGCAGATACCTAGAGATCTCACACCCAGGGACTCAAATTTCCAAAAGCTCAGAAGATGCACACCCGGGCATACAGGCACACAATGCCTAAGAGGCTTTGTACCATGGCTCACAAAATCCACTCAGATAAAATATCCCATTCACCCACAATCTCTGCAAAGGCTCAGACATCAGAGAGATCAAAGGCACCCAAACAGCATGTGTGATGTCATACCTAGCGGTACACATCCCCAAATGGCATGACACACTTTACTTCCCCGGAAGAGACACTAAGAAAGCTCAGAGACCTCGGCCTCGACATTAACCGCACTGCATCTGTCCGACTGACGGTGCGCTGCCACACGCGCCCAGGGAGACTCGTGACTGGGCCAGGGCTCAACACGGCTGAGAGAGCTCACAGGAAGACAGCGCCGTCACCCTGCACGGCAGCCACTGCGCCCAGCCTCGCCACTGACCCGGACAGCCATTCGGCCCCCACGGAAGGGTTAGTTGTGGAGTAGTCGAACTC